AAAAATGATTAGTTTTATTTTTGAAATGTTATATTTAGATATTGATAAATTAGTTAGTCTTACAGGCATGGTTATTCGATCGTCATTAATAATGCCTGAAATGCGTTCAGCTTATTTTTCATGTAATATATGTGGTTTTCATATACAAGTTGAAATTGATCGTGGAAGAATTGCTGAACCAACTATATGTACATCATGTAATACAGCACATTCATTTGAACTTATTCATAATCGATCATTATTTGCTGATAAACAATTTATTAAATTACAAGAAACGCCAGGTAAATTTTTCTTACTTGTTTCTTTGAAATTATGTTGGATTTTTCTTTAGAGGAAATGCCTGCTGGACAAACACCAGTTACTGTAACGATTGTAGCACATAACGATTTAGTTGATGCAGTACAACCTGGTGATCGGTATGTATATTAAGAAAAATTTGTATTAGAAAAGAAGAAAATGATTGACAAGGTAGAAATCAAGGGAGTATATGGATTGTATCGTTTAGAAATTTCGCTGTTGATTTTTGAAGTACTACATAAGCGGTACTGGTCAAAGATGTAAAAACAACGTACTTATTTTTGTCTACGGTACCGAGCGGTTCACTCAAATCCAAATAGTAGTTTGAACAGTCGATGAAGTTTTCTATCGATTGTATTGAAATTTCATGGATGGACTATGAGAGGAACATTTCTAGAAAACTAAGCATGGTAGTTTCTAGGTCCAAGAGAACTGTCAAAAAATTAATTTTCAATAGTACTGTTTTAAAATGCACAACATTTTGAATACAATGAGTAGTCACTACATTTCCTACCACCTTCTCTTAAAAAAATGATAAGCATTACATAAAATGCGTTTTTTTAACAATTTTTCCATGAATTTTGTTTTGTTACTATTTGATGCTTATAACTTTCTATTTCTTTTATAACCATGTGAATAAGAATAATTAACTAAATCGCTATTGGCAAACGATAGATAAATATTGAAACAAGAAAAATATAAGAAATACGTCACACTGATATCAAAACAGGTCAAGATAAGACAAGTGTCATGAATATATAAAATGATTCATCACGTGTATTTGTTAATAGCTGTCTCCATTTAAAAAATTAGAAAAAAATCGAAATTTCACACCGAAGAACTATAATTAACTTCTTCATAATCCGTACAAACCATAAAAGAGTAATAACTATTATTATCCGATACATAAAAAAAAGGAATTCAATAGTTATTCATTACTTGATACATATAAAATTAGATCCTTATATTCTATTTTAGTGTTCAAGTTACTGGTATATTTCGTGCAGTACCAGTTCGTATAAATCCTAAAACACGAAATGTTCGTTCTGTTTATCGTACATTCATTGACGTTATACATTTTCGTCGTCATAAAACGTTTACAGCTGTAGGTGGACTCGAAGAGCAAACAACAAATGATGATGAAGAATCAAGGTAACAAAATATGTTCTTTATTTTCATTGTAAAATTTATTTTTACTTAATTTAGTTCATCGAAATTTTCTAAAGAACGTCTAGCACAATTTCGTAATTTATCTGAACGTCCAGATATTTATGAATTATTATCAAATGCAATTGGTATGTTTTTTCTTCTCTCAGTTTTATTTCTATGTCATTTTTTGTTTTCTCAAGCTCCAAGTATTTTTGGACATGAAGATATAAAAAAAGGTATTTTATTACAATTATTTGGTGGAACAAAAAAATCTTTTACTGATGCTGGACGAAAAAGTTGTCGATCTCAAATTAATATTTTACTCTGTGGAGATCCTGGTACAGCTAAATCACAATTACAACAATATATATTTCGATTAGTACCACGTGCTCAATATACAAATGGTAAAGGTACAAGTGCTGTTGGTCTTACAGCTTATGTAACAAAAGATCCTGAAACTGGTCACCTTGCTCTTCAAACGTAAGAATAAATATTGATTCGTTGTTTTAATATTTTATTTATTATTGTATATTGTAGAGGTGCTTTAGTTCTTGCTGATAATGGTATTTGTTGTATTGATGAATTTGATAAAATGAGTGAAAGTGCTAGATCAATTCTTCATGAAGTTATGGTATGTTAAGTATTACGT